GCCCCGCCTTAAACGGGGAATGGGGCGGGGACGGGGAATGAATTTCTTAACGGGGCGGGGGACGGGGAGGGCATCCCCGTCCCGCCCCGCCCCGTTCCGTTGCCATCCCTAATAATGAAGGGCATAATTGTAAATTATATTCTCAAAATGAGGGCAGAAATGGTCATCCAAATTTTTAACAGTTGATTAGTCATTTTCACATTTCCGTGTAGAAGATTTTCAAGTTATAAATATTTGTTTATATAATTGAAATCTTCTAAAAATGAGATTGTAACCCCTTATTTCTTATACTCATTTTTAATCACACATTCATACAAACATATTTTATACATAAATTCAAAAAATTTCCCTACTTTTAACTAAAATTTTCAAATAATTACTATTCAAAATATCATTTTCCATTAATTTCTCTTTATAATGACTATCGAACAAAGTCTTAATGTACATCAAACTGAGGCTAGAGTTCGCATCTAGTATTGTAAAAAAAAAAAATGTTTGAAAAAGTTGTCTTAATTAGTGTTCGAAAACTAATTTTTAAAAGAATTCTTCTCTTGAAAAGCTTATAGAAATAAAGTCAAATTGGATTAACCATCTTTAAAAGCTCTTCTAATTAGAAGCATTTTTTTAACTTTTACAACATGCCCTAACTTTTGTTGGGGGTCCGAACACATTTGCAGCATTACACTAGTAGGTTGCATAACTCATCACAATGTGGAAATTTATAAACGCCTTCTTCTGGTATAGCCAATCAGTAGAACTCCCCTATGAACATTCAAGTCCTCGATCTTTATTAATTAAAAAAAAAAAAAATCCGTAATAATGGAATCATAAACACAAGAAAAAAATGCATGAAGTACATTGGTACAAACCAATTATATGACTCACAAGATCCCTTCAGCCAACAAATTCAGGACTTCCCAAGACTAGTAAGTATACATATTATATACCCAACTCTATATGAACATTTAGATACAGAAGCCTTCACAATCCACTCTGGAAATAGAAAGAACTTCATATAATACATCTGGTAAATCTAAAAATAAGTTGCATATCGGAACGACGACCTGCAAGTGCCAAACAAGGAAAATAACAAAAAGAAATTTTCACACAGTAGACATGGGGTGAGTGGAGATTCAACCTGTTTCCTTCACAATTTTATTTCATTCTCAAATAAACATGATAGCCAAATCGAACATCTTGCCTGGCATCTGGAGACCTGCAACATTAGGCAAACACCAATCACTTGCAAGTAGCCAAAAAAGGCATACCCATCCTCATGCTCGTTCATCCTTAAAAACCATTCTGAAGTTGAACTTAGAAAGGTTAAAAGCAGTACTATCATGGCTCCAAATGACCAAAAAAACTCAGATACTTGGGCAATTTTTTTCAGTTCGCAGCTGCTATCACAGTTCTCGTCTCACTCTAGGTGTCGATGAACCAGAGCTGAGCCTTTGGACTGGCTGCGTCTCAGGATTGTATTTCTGGGAAGCAAGATAAGTTAGGGCTGTAACTACGTCTGCTATGAGAGGTCGCATGTTGGGTTGCTCCTGGACACACATAGCAGCAACAGCAAGAGCTTGATACAAACCCCTAGATGGGTACTGACCTTGAAGCATGGGATCAGCCATCTGTGAGAACTTCCTACGGTCTTTGAACAAGGGCCGGGCCTGCAGAATTGAGATACTAGTAAACATGTAATTATATTGCTTGGAAGTCCAAGGTAGAAATTCACACTTTTATGCATCTATAGATCGTGGAGTCATAGGTAAGAAAATTATGGTATGTTTGGTGAGTAGACAACACCAAAAACCATTCAAAAGAAAAAAGAAGTTAAAATCCTGTTCATTCTACTATCCTTATTCTATCCTGCTTATCACACATACCCTAGGGACTATCTTTTAATGGTACGTATAAATTTTTACTCTGGGGAAATATTAGTAAAGCTCACTTACCCAAATAATAAGTCTACTGATCCAGTTGGGTTCTACTCATTTGCTGATACATGAGATGATTTCAAGGATATCAAAAATTACAAAACCTCTTATTAGTGATATGTTGACAAGTAGCATTTATTCGAGTACTTTTCTCTATATGTTAGACCTCCATTGCTCATCCCATGAAATCATAACCCCCAAAACTAAATTCTTCCCGAGATTTTGCAATTTTTCTCAATTCAAAATGTGAACAACCACATAACAGCAATGGAACTTTATATTGTGTCACAATTATTGAATAGGAAAAACGATATAGGCAACATAATAGACTTGATAAGTTTCTTGAAAGTCCTCTAGTTTGGGAGGCTACCCCTCTCTTTACATGTAAATAAGATTCTTCATTATATAGCAGACATGTCAGCGTATTTTTACCATACTAGGTGTATAGCGACAAAAATCTTCCTCCCCATTTTCTACTTCAACATCGGCAAAGCGGTTTATTAAAGCTCCTTCCAAAAAAGCAGCACTAGCCCCGGAAGGTGCTGCTAGATCACCTCCTTTTCAGGGAGAGCTGATGCTTGTTGGATATTTTGGTTTGACACTTCTTCACACCCAAAATAAAAAGAAGGGAGCATCGTTAAATAGGATAGAATGCAAGAAAGAACCCACTCACAATCTAAAAATAAGCAAATTGACCCTTGTGTTGTGTATTTCAGGGCAGATTCACCTATCACTTTATTATGAAATACCAAATTGACCCGTGCAGCTATAAGTACCTTCATATTCTGCTGAGTACAATTTGACAAGGGGTCGAGTCAGTAATCGGAAAACTTCATTTCTCGATCTTGATTCGCATAAGATAAAAATTGTACGCTACAATTTCTTTCTAAGGTGGGGTCTGAAAATATGCTCGTGGTGTTCCAATCAAAACCAGGTGGTTACGATAAAGGGAATAACAACATGCATTTTCCAACTAGTCCACGCTTGAAGAGTTTCGGGCTTCCTTCCATGGGTCAAGAAGTCAATGGAGGAATATTCCTAACACATGAATCAAGAATTTATGAGTGAAAAAGTTTCTCAAACCCCCTCCCCCACTACGTGCCCACCCAGGCACATAAACAAGATGAGGTCACACGTGGAGTTGATAGGAACCCAAGTTACAATATGAAAATAATCAGAGTATAATGAAAAGAAGTTGAAGATGGAGAAAATGTGTTTGAATTCACTTGTCTTGGTATACCAAGTAAAATGAAGTATACTAAGCAATAATTAGTTAGTTTAGGCAAAAAAAGGATAAACATACAAATTAAGAAACCCTTGCTAATCTTCGATTAATACACATTAGACTTTCATTGGGACTTTCCCGAAGTTCCTCCTACCATTGAGGATGATCTACTCTTTTGCCCATAATGATAATTCAAGAGCATACCACATAACATTAGTAAATCTAATGCATTTCTTAGTATGTTCCACATCTGTTTCTCACGGCTTTTACAATTTCTAAGTTGAGGATTACTAAAAATGATTATGAGATTGTAACCTAGAATTATGTTGTGGAGTCAAATGAAGTAGCCCATTCTTAGTTGTTAACCCCTCTACATTTCTATCAAAAACCAGAGTGGCCCAAACTTCTCAGCACTTCCTGTAACGACCAGGGCCACGTGCCTTAGCGGTTAACTTACGTACTGTCCACTCTGAGAGAACTTTAACCCATCTTACCCCCTCATGGATTTCTATCGAGTGAGGGGTAAGATGGACTTAGACTCTTCGAGTGGACAATATGTATGATATAACGACTGGGCACAGAGGTTAGGTCGTTACACTTCAGCTTGAGTGAAATCCGGACGAATGATGCTCCATATGAAGTAACTATAAATTGATTTGGTTAATGACTAGGAGGGACCATTGTTCGAGGAAACTCATAGATGTATTAAAATAGACAATGACCAAGAGGCAATCACTTAGCGAGCAAATTAAGAGCAGGTTCACAATTTCTAACAACCCACTAAAACCAAGCTCCTGCACCACGTTAAGAAACTAGAATAATCAAAATTAGTTGAAGAAAGTGCATAAATTATGTTCATTGACTTTATAAACAAAGACATAAGTAACCTACAAAAGATTAGTAGCCTCTACAAATCAAGAGATAAAAAAACACGGAAGGTAATGTGGTAGCAACACAGTTAAACAATCAAGAGTAAGGTCACAAGCGGACTTGCTGACAAGTCATCCCAAACCAAGCTTGATACCATTTCAAATAACTAGAGTGCAATCACGGTGGTGGGGAATGAAGATAAGAATAAACATAGGATTAGATAGGATTTTAAAATAGCATTTGTTTTAAATTATGTTAGTTTGGATTAGATTAGTTTATTAGTTTAATAAGAATTAGATTATTGTTTCCTTCTCCAATTAGGGTTGTTTAAACTATATATAAAGGGTCTATTCATGTAATACTTAGAACTTTGATATATTTTCTCCATCTAAATTCTCTCTTCTTAATCTTCTTCTCTTTCTTGTTTCTTTCTCTTTACTTGTTTGTTATCACAGAGTTATTTGAAAGATGAAGAAACAGATTGGATTAGCGTCAAAAGAAATGAGGGACTCCCAAGAAAATAGAGTTATAGCCAAACCTACTAATCGAACGTTCTTATTGACCATATTGAAGACATTGAAGCATTGACTTCATTATTCAGAGAAAAAAGGAAATTAGAAGTGCAGAAATTTGGTCTTTGATATTATTATGTAAAACCTAACCCACATTTCAAAATTATGTTGTTTTGTAGCATAGTGTTTAAGAATTCTTTTTGAAATCAAATACACAAGGGTATGATCCCATCTAGTGTCTTACATTTCTACAATCTGACTAAATAAACAATTTAATCATCATCCCCTCTATATCACTGATTCAAATGCATGAAGATTAAATTTGAAAAGATTATATTAACAGCTGATATTGCTCTAAGAAGCGCAAGTTCACACAAATGAACAGAATACTGCACATATGAAGATGACCAGGCTCAACGTATATCATGGTCTACGTAGTTACAAGTGTTAAAGAAGATCAACCAAAAGTACATAGAAAATAAGTTATATATAGCAAATATGTTAAAACTCACAGAAATACAAGAGATTCTTACCCATGCAACCAAATTGTGCTCGCCAGCAGCTCTTGAATTGTCAATCGCTTTTCTGCCAGTGACGATCTCCAGAAGGACAACTCCAAAACTATAAACATCTGATTTCAATGTAAGCTGCCCTGTCATTGCATATTCTGGCGCACAATATCCATAGGTTCCCATCACCCTAGTGGATACATGGGTCTTATCCCCAACAGGACCCAATTTTGCCAACCCAAAATCAGATAGCTTTGGATTATACGCTTCATCTAGTAAAATATTTGAACATTTCAAATCCCGGTAGATAACAGGTGGGTTTGCTTTATCATGCAAATATTCCAAGCCCTTTGCAGCGCCAGCAGCTATTTTCATTCTTGTATTCCAGTCAAGCCTCTTTTTATCAGGTGAAATATCTGTAAATGTCCAAGTATAAGCTATCACAAACTGGTAAATAACACATTAGAAACGAGGACTCGGATCACTTGAGAGGAGTTTTCCAAAAGAGTTGGTAAAATGTCGCAAAATCTACTCTGAGATGACAAAAAATTCATAATTGGATATTATGGTTAATCAGCATAAATACGGTTTTTTTTTTTTTTTTGCATGCTGATTTGTTAACTAATTTCTCTAAGTTCCTGATATTAAATAAAAATAGATTAATAAGTATGACACACTCATTCAACCAACTAATAAAATAAATATGTATCATGCCTTCTTCAAATAAAACAAATTATCAAATATACATTATATCTACAAAATAACAAAATTAAGTACGTTATAATACATACCATGCAGATGGTCTTCCAATGACCCTAATGACATGTATTCATACACCAGAAGTCTCTGATCTCCATCAGCACAATAACCAATCAAGTTTACCAAGTGCGGATGATGAAGTAGACTTAACATCAACACTTCAACAAGAAATTCCCTGTTCCCTTGCAAACCATTGCGATCAAGTTGCTTTATAGCAACAATCTACATAAAAAGCACGATAGGGTTCAGGTATCACCACTAACCTCAAGATGCGGGATAAAAAGTTCCATTTTCCAGGCATTAAGCTACCAATGATGCAGAGTCTCCTATTGGAACTATCTATGGTAGAATTCAACGAACTAAATACAGAAACTAAGAATGTGAAGACGTGCAACAGAGAGTAATTTAATTGTCTGAACTCAGAATGGGACAGGTATGCCACAGTTTCCTAACTAAGATCTTGAACAGTTCCATACCATAAACTCAATTATGAAGAAGAAAGAAATGTAACTGTTCATTTCTTTAAATTTCAAAGGTTAAAAACTTCTAATAGTGCTTATCTTCATTTATTTACCAACATGAGAAAAGCATCCTTTGTCAAAATTCATGGTCACCTCTTAGTATTAGTGCTTATCTATTTTCATTTATCAAAGATACAAACTAGAGGGGGGAAAAAAGAATAATATATATATATATATATATATAATGGGTAAGTAACTACATAACGATTATTTGGAATTCAATTTTTATATGTAGATACTATACAGGCCAAGCATTTCCAAAAGAGTTGTTCATGATTTCAATTGCAAGAGAGAAGATTTGCTTACTAAAGAAATAGTAGAACGGAAAACCAGAATCACATTCAAATTTTTCGACGATAGAAGAACAAACCTGATTAGTGCTCTCTAATCGTCCTCTGTATACTCTGCCAAATCCACCTTCACCCAAAAGACAATCAGCCCTAAAATTCTTGGTGGCGGTAGCCAATTCAAGAAAAGTAAAGGTGTGTGCAGCAATATAACCAGATCCTCCGTCTTTAAAAGATTCCTTCTGTACATCAAGGGACGAATTTACCTTTTGTTTATCTACAATGAGGAAATAAATCAACTCAAAAACCAAACCTTCTGAGAAACTAATTTGAACAGTTTTCATTAGAAAGTAAACACCTGTCATAGTAGAAGGTGGCCTTGCAGCATTTGCAGAGATATAATACACCAGAATATCAAGTTACAGAAAACTCAGAAACAAAATGGAACAATTCGGAAAAGATAATGCAACGATTGGTTGCATTTTTCCAATCATACAGAAGACTCTAGAAACTGTTGGCACCAATAGTACCTTTGTCCTTCATCAGTTCACAAAAGGAGTTTTATGAAACATATGAAATCTTAGGTCCCATTTGGTTTGCATTTCAGTTTTAAGTTTATAGAGGCTGTTTTACGATTGCAAAAACACATTTGGTTTCACATTCTTCAAAACTATTTCTCAAAGCAAAAATTTGAAAAACATGTTTGCTTTGAAATTTTTAGAAATTGGTTTCATCAATTTGATTATTCAATAAAATATAACATTTTTATACTAATATATTATCAAGCAACATATACATTTTAAAAGTTGGTGAATCTTACAATATTATTTTGTTAAAAGAATATAATAAAAACACGTGCGAATATATTACACCGACGAGCTCAAAAATTCATCTTAGCATTACAACATACACTTGCGAATATATTACATTGACAAACAAAATATTTCAACTTGGCATTCTACAAGCACCTTAAATTCGTTCAAAAAGTCTAAAATAACCCAGAAACGGCCCACTGAAAAGAAATTATTGATTCAGCTTCAACTCCTTATCCACATAAAAGCGATGAACATTTATGGAAGAAGGAGACCACAACAATTTTGTAAAATTGGCTTTTTTTTTTCCAAGTTCCTCATTTTGTAGGATTTGCACAATAAACAGAAAATCACTGACATTGATTGCGTATGAACCAGAGGATCTAACCAAGAAAAGTAATTGCAATCATACCAATTCACACCTCCATGGAATCATCGACTAGGACTTGCCTTCTTTCCATGTAATTTTGAGGATGCCCACAATAACACCTTGTTACGTCATTATGTACAAAGGTGAAGTTTACATTTATTTTTGTTCTTCGATATACTTTGAGGATCTTAGGATAAATGCACTTCCAGTGTGAAAATACCTAAGAAAAATAGTGTGATCTCATCTAATTTTTTGTTCAAATCACAAGGATAGAAATTGATTTAGGATGAATATTATGAGTTATTTTGGTGGTTTGATTTGGTATTGGAAGGAGGAATTTACTCCCGTATTTTCAGTTTTTCAAGGTTTCACCTCAAATTGAAAAATTATGTTTTGAATTTTACATTATAAATTTAATATTATTTTCAATAATGCATTTTCAAGAGTACCAAACCAAACAAGTTTTGTGAGTGTTTTACAAAATCAAAAACTAAAAACACCAAACCAAACGCCCCCTTAATACCCTCTTTAATATATTTATTAAATTTGGCTAACATGGCAAGTTGAAAACACACAGTTGAAAGCCAAAAAACACCATCGACTTAACTGAACAAGACTTGATCTTATCCCAAGCAAAGCTAATAAAAAATGGTTAATCCATGATCCAAAAGCAATTTTGAGGTTACATGAGAAATACCGAAAAATTAATTCAAAAGCAACCAAGGATGAGTGAATGAACAAAAGTCACCAGATAGGAATCCATCAATTGCGAAAACAAGTTTAAAACCTCCTTCATTAATTGCAACTTGTGCTTTCATCAGTCCTTACAAAACATGAAAGATCACAGAAGATATGCCAAACCCCACAATATCACGTTCTCTAGGACAGTCTGACACAACCCAATGGACGGGATGCTGGGCATTCAATAAGCTAAGCACAATTTCATTCCGTAAATAAAAAAAATTGAAGCTTTAACATGATAACATCATCACTCAATAACATAAGAAACATAAGTTCTGCATCGAAGAAAATTGGAACTAAGTACTAAATCTAGTACAGAACCAGGAAATCGAAAGTGAGCCATCATTAATTGGAACTTATTTGCTAAAGTTTTTATTCCCACGCTAACCATGCGAACTAATCAGTTTACAAACAATACTAAATTTCAATCAAAACCATACGTCTAGATAGAAAAAAGTAAATTGCCAATCCCTCTTTACATCAAAAGTTTAAGGAGCTAATCCCTCTTTTCTGGGTTTTCAAAGTACTAATTGAACGAAAATTGTCAAACCCACGAATTTTTAATTGTTACAGCAATATTAAAAATTACAAGAAGCTCATATGAGAATTTATACGTGAATCAGAATTATAAGTCAGATCAAGAAATTAATGTACACTACACTCATATGAAAATTCAAACACATCTATACATGGAATACAACCCATAATTTATCATATCCTCCTTAATACAAAGAAATGAATAGCTAAATTATAAAGAAAAAAAAAAGTAATTCTTTAAAAGAAAAGACAATAATGGTGGTGGAAATGAGCAAACAAAATTTGAACTTTGCCACTTCACTATGTTTTTAATCATAAACATCTTTATCTAGTAATATGCTGTACAAGTACCTATATTTGAAGGGATCTGATGATCAGACTTGTTGCCCTTTTGTTTTTTTCCTTTCTTCTTCGATTTCCCAGAACACTGGAACCAACCCATTGCTTCTTACACTTCGAACGCACGCACGCACGCTCTCTCTTGCACACTGCGCGGGTATGTGATTGAAGAAACGGAAGGGAAGGGAAGGGAAGGGCGGTGGTGATTGGGGAGGAAAGAGGAAGGGTCCAACAAAAGCTGACCAAACATGATTTCTGACGAAGAATACGACAATTTTGTTTAGGTTGGTTTTGCATGTGTGCCCTTGTGTCAATGCTAGTTGTCGAAATGGCCCATGATTTCATTGTGAAATTGCAATCTTGAATTGGAAGGTGCATGAAAGGTAGATTTGATCGACAAGCATTTTTAAATAAAATAGACTTGTGATTTTAGTCCTAGAAAGGAGTCTTTTTAGTGCCTATTTAGCCCATATTTGATCTACATTAAAATTTTTATACTTATTCTTCTACTCATTTTCAACCACACATTCTTCAATAAAATAATATTTTTTATCACATCAATAATTTTTCCTTATTTTTCAACCACGATTAAGTTAGTTTGCCATAATTGATTTGTCTACCTAATTGACCTAACCTCACATGAGTGTAGGACCGACGTGGGACCCGCATGAAATAAAAAATGAAAAATATTTCCCTCCACCGATGTGTGTGTTCTGTCAGGGACCCTCCCGGCACTGCAGCTCGATTGTGCAATCACACATTCTCCATCAATCTACTGTTTCAAAACACATTCTTCCAAAATAGTGTGGTTCAAAGACAGAGTAATTTGTTGTATTTTTAATATTTTCTATCATAATTTTTTTTATAAACCTTTCTAAAGTTTGATGGGGTGATGGTGAACTAAACGAGACATAGTACAGTTGGGAAAAGTTTTAGGGCTTTGCCGCCCACTTGCCTTGCCCTGTTCTCATCTTTATTCTAAATTTGTCGAACATTTTTCATCCCACTGGTTAACATGTACACGTGTGACGGAATATATGAAAATATTTTTGAACATCACTTATTGTCATTACATCCCCATCCCATTTCGAATTTTCAAGAAGAGGATCGAATAGAATCCCTCCATTTAATTAATTAATTATTTTTATGTATTGTTTTTATCCTTCGAAAGTATTTCATTTCAATGCTTGTAACTTTTAACATTCAAACTGATACTTTCAATTCGCCTTCTATTCGAGTCTCAAAAAGTTGAAAGATGAGGATCCAAGTGCTATACTACATAAAGGTTGACAACCCATATGTAAATTTTCCGAGGTATCTTATAAGCTTTTAACTCTTTGTCCAAAATATTCTTTTGTTTGTAATATATCCAAATGATTTTAAATAATAATAATAGAGACACAGCTGGATATCCGGGTCGGGGTGGACATATACATATCCGTATTCAATTGGACCCGCCACAACAATGAATGTCCAACTTCCAAACCTTTTAGAGGATGCCCTCGGCGGCGGCGGCCAAAAAGGCGGTGGGCGGGTGGTTCTCATCGAGGATTGCGTCGAGACTAGCGGAGCATTCGTGCTCCACCACTTTCTCAAGCGCTCACTATCCCCTAACTCTTCTGACGCCGTCGTTTTCCTCTCCTTTTCCCAGCCCTTCTCTCACTATGATCGCATACTCCGCAAAATGGTATGCTCTCTCTCTCTCTCTCTCTCTCTCTCTCTTCACGTTTTACACATTATTTTGTTGGGTGGGAATGGAGGAGAAGAGCAAGTTTTCTAGCACAGTTTTTGTACAGAAGTGCCAAGTTTGTATTTTTTTTTTTCTTTTCGCCCTGGCTATCGTTTTTATTGTTGGTTATATTTGGAAGATTGAATTTACTAGAGGAAGATGGCTTATTTTGGGTGCGTGATTAAGTATATAATTATAAATTCTTGAATATGAATTATGCAGAATTGTAAGAGATTTCTTATTTCGTCACTCCTTCCTCCCCTCTAATGTTTCGCCCACCACCTGTACAACCTCCCCCTCCTCCAATTCCGCTTTTCCCGTCTCAGTTTCTATTCTCAGGGGAGCTCCCAAGTAATGAGGTAGGTTTGGATTTGAAGAAAATGAAGTTTAAGTTAGACATTTTAGTGCTTTCAATTAAAAAAATTAGTATCTGAACGTATTTCGCTACAGAAGGTCCCTTTGAAAAATTCGTAGGTTGGGAATTGTTTCAGTTTCCAGTACAGGAATGTGGCAAATATGGGTAGGAATGCGCTATCTCTGATCATTGATTGAATATAATTACCACTATAAAGTTCCTTCACCCATATCCATATGGGCTTTGGAGATTATCTGTCCATATATAACCATTTTGTTTAAATAGTGAATGGTTGCTGAATAATTTCGAGACTGTACTGATTATTATCATTCGATTTGGTATTTTGTTTGCTAACAAGCTTGTGACTTGGAGCATTCATGAACCAGAGCATCTCAAGTGAGATCGTTCTTGTCTGTTGACACGAGTCTTGCATTATCAGGAAGCTGAAGTTACTTGATTACTTAGTAGAATATGATTGTATCTAGCTATATCTAACGGATCACTTACTTATATTAGGTTTTATTTAGACACCAAATAGTCCATCATAAGCTACAGATAATGCACGTTGCTTTTTTACAGTCGACAAAATTCCAATGTCACCGAATTCTATATTGAGGATGTAAGGAAAGGGTGGAACTGTGCCAACAGCTTATGAACATCGACTATTACGATTTCTTTATGTCCGTGCTACTGAATAACCAAGCATTCAGAGACTAATGTAAACGGCAAAGATAATGGAAGATTTTGATATCAGAAAAAGATAGTACTTGGTTCTCTAGGGCAAATGCTTAGCCTTACTGGATCAGAAATTATCAACACATGGCATGATGGTGTATTATGTACCTATGATTTCATGAATTTATTATGCAAATTAAGTTATAATTAAATGTGTTCTTTTGCGAAGAATTGTAAGCTTTCAGGATTATGAAATTTGACTAATACATAAACTTATAGTCAGTGCCAGGTGTGATATTTTCATTATGTTTGAAAAAGTTTCCAGGTTTTGATCGACCATAGTTCCAAGCATTTTGTGTTGTGTCACGTTGGCAACTGTGCGTGGAAATGAATCTCTGTTCATTGGTTTACCATTTGTTTTTCACTTATTGAGCAGAGACTCAAGTTTTTCAGTGTACAGTTGATCACAAAAACTATCTAATGCTGGATACTTGTTTCACATTTCTCATTGTTTATTCGTGCTGTATAGAGATTCTAAGAGGCCTAAATCTCTGCGATTGAAATTCTATAGCGGTGACAAACAAGAATGCGTTAAGTTTTGGTGCTTCTACTTGAAATCTACTGGCGACAGGCTTTTCAAGAGAAGTTATGGATAAGATTTTGAACTTTTACGTTGTTATTTGAATGTCAAAAAGAATATCAGTCTGAAGGTGGCAAATTTACTTTCAAACCCAATTCCGATTCTAATAATTGGCACTCGCTCTATCTATACAGAGTTCTTTGTTGGAGGAACTTCTAAAACTTAGGCCGATAATGTAAGAATGTTGAAACTCTATTCAACCTGAAACTAGCTAATTTACTTCCAGTTGGTTTTCATTATCAGCTTCCTTTTGCACTGTGTAGAGGATTTTGAAATTTGGTGGCAAATTTACTGGCTTTGACTCTTGATCCTTTTGCTTCTCTTGTATCATATGAAAAAATTGAAATATGTATTATGCTTGCGTATACGAAAGCTGTATGTAGGCTAGGTTTTTCTTTGTATGCTGTATTTGACCTTTATTTAATATAAAAAAGTACTTTTCAAAGTTTTTGTTACTGAACTCTGAAGCCCATGAGTTGTGGATTTGACAGGGATGCAACTTGGTTGTCCAGCGGGATAATAAGAGGTTGCTATTCTTTGACATGCAAATGCTTGACAGTGTAGGTGAGGACGTCCGTGGAAATAAAACTTTCATGTGATGTTAATTATTCTTGTCCTATGTTTCCGTAGACATGCTTCATATTTAAATTGGTTTATCCTGAAGTAGCCAATGTGTCCACCTAAACCGCAAGCAGTTATAGATGTTACAACAAAATAATTCCATATCTACCACATGTCTAATTAATAGATCGTTGTCCTTTCAGTGCCTTGTCTCATTTGTATGTCCTGTTTATTTGTCATCATCTGAATTATACAACACGATGCATTATATTTCTGACAAGATTGATTAAATCCAAAGTGGAAAGTTGAAGATGCACTATGCATGAGAAATTGACTGTTTCTGGTTAAGATAACTTCTCCCTGAACTTTTTTATTTGATCTTTTTTGTTCATTTGAACGACAAAACAGCTGATGGCACAATTTATGATTAGGTAGAGAGGAAGAGAAGACGAGTGAAGATTTACTTCTTGCGTTGTACGAGAAAGTTCACAAAGCAGTAGAAATTTGTTTGTCACCTCCCAGGAACATTACTATTATAATTGATGATGTCTCTCTTCTGGAAGTGGCTGCTAACTGCTTGTCAAATATTGTCCTTGATTTCCTGCATTATTGCTACAGCTTAACAGCAGAATTTGTAAGAAATCATTACTCAATATTTTACTATAAGCCCGTGCTGCTATTATTTAGGAAAATGGTTTATGCTCTGTTCTCCATCAGGGTTGTTCACTTATCACTCTTAACCATGAGGATATATATTCAAGTTTGGATAAGCCATCGTTACTTTTACAAATGGAATACCATGCAGACGTAGTGATTAAAGCTGAACCTTTATCTACTGGTCTAGCAACCGATGTTCATGGACAGGTAAAATTGTCTAATTCTCTTATCTTGTTTAAGTTTTGACACAAGTTTTGATGGTAAAAACCGAATCAACAAATCATATCACCTAACTATGACTTTCTCCTCTTAAACTCACTAGTTTTGATGCTCAAACTTGAAACAAGAGAGAAAAAAGTCATTTGAGATGAAAATATTTGAATTGCTTTCTTTACTCTTAATTCCTAAAAAAATGGGGGTATTTATAGATTTCCTTCCAAGATCTGGGTCAGTTCGGTCATGTAGAGAATATGATAGGTGGCAGATCCATATTGGTTATTTTATAACTCATTCTGTTATAAATATCACGTTTTATTCACTGACCCACGTGTAGCCAGCATGAGTGAGGAAAAGGTTCGCATAAAGGTTGCGAACCGTTTCGCCTTTTACTTCCCTTGCGTATTACTATATGCTTCGCAAGCAGTGGGCGGGGTTCAATATATTCTTTTTTTGGTCGAGCATCAACAAGAAGTATTTACATTTTAGTGCTTATGTATATGCTTAAATACAAAAAAATTGAATTCTGGAAAAGTAGAATTCTAGTAGTATATCTTTTCTAGTAAATCTCTTAAGCTCCTCACATGTAGCAACATCCATTCGACAAAAAGTTGATTGCGCTTGCATGGTTACTGGGTGACTCACCCCATCCATCTCCATTTGCCACAACTAACAAATTTGATGACAGCAAATGGAAATGTGATGCGGCACAAAAAGCAAGATGTTAAGTGAGTTTCTTGGTCCAACATGGCAAAAAGAAGAGACTCTCTTGCCTCTATTTGTTTTGGCTGACCAAATGGTACTCAAATCTTCGTTTGCCTGCAGTTGACTGTTTTAGACAAAGGACTTGGAGGTTGCTTCATTAACTCGGGAAAGATTCGTAATTTCCAGTTCAGGATTAAGGATAATCAGGTCGAATATTTCTATCCAGGAAGTCGAACTTGAAAGATATGTCCTGGAACAGAATCAAGGAATGATGAGCATTTATATCATCATTTGTTGATAAAAATGCCAAGTAATTCAGTGCCACGAATTCGTCCCGTCGGTTTGGTACATGGAGAAGTGGAGTTCAAGTTTTCTGGAATCGAACATTCGGAAGGGTGCATCTCCTGTTAAATTCTTGAGCAAGTGTGTTTTCTATGTATTTAGGTATTGTTGTGAATTAAGTGAAAGTTACAACTATCCCATTGATTGGTTACTGCTTTTTTTTTAATATTTATTTATTTAAAAAGGAGCAAATCCATCATTTAATGGTCAAAATGGAGGAAATAACAAGTTTTGCTACATAATTGAAAGATTGGAGATAGATTATATGCTCCTTTGACATGACTTTTACTTTTACTTTTGCTTCATGTAGAAGAGTTTTTGGATAAAGTTATCTTAATTTTTGCTTGGAAACAATTTTTTAGAATGATTTTCTATTTCGAAAGTGCTTTTAGAAGAAGTTATATTAGACCAACTTCTTCTAAAAGCCCTTTTAACTAGAAAAACGATTTCATAAAATCGATTAAATGAGTTTAAAAGTAGCTTTTGAATCTCAAAAGTTCCTTTTGGTTTTCGAAAAACTATGTTAAACGCGCCCTACGTTGAAAATATGTTGAGTAAATTTGTTACATTTTGCAAATATTCTGAAGCTACTCGATAAACGTGCACTTTTGCATTTTACAATTCCTCATAACACTTTAAATGAACATGTCCTTATTTTTATTTAAATCAAAATATGTAGCTTTATTATAATTGATATTTTTGGAAAAATCTCAAGTCAAATTCTCATTTTCTAGAATCACGGGTTTAGATTTTAACTTATTTACTTCTAAAATATGGCATTTTCAAATTAGAGTTATATTTCTAATATTAATGTTAATTTCTTATTGTAAAAATTCTCTCTCCATTTTTTTTTTTGTATTAGAGTGCATCTGGTGTGAAATTTTAGATTTTCCCTGTGAATTTGTTTTAAAGAATGTAATTTATTACTTTTTAACATTTTATGACAAGTTTGATTGTATGCTGTAAAGTGCATGTTATTTACCTTATAAAAAATTTATATATACCACTTAAGTTGAAACCTACTTTCTAAATAATTCATATTATTTCGAACTTTTAAATATCGAGACATTATAAAATGCTACTCGAACAAGAAACTTAAAACGGTAATGTAAGCTTTCACGTGAAGCATGAAAAGAAGCTGAGAGATAGTTTCCTTATCTCGATCTAATGAACAATGAGTACGTGGATATAACAAGCTAATGAGTTCAAGAGCTCTTATCGACCATGGAGTTAGATCGGTCAACTAATATGATTTTCTTAAAGGATGGTTTGTTTTCGAGCCCACTTCTAAATTGTCATTGCTCAATCACTTCCTTTGACATTGAATTGGGCCAATCAAGTGCTCAAGCCGAGATTATAAAGATACCAAGAGTGGTCGTTTTAAAGTCTCTCTTACAACTATTAGCTTTGAACAATTTTACCATACACAATATATTTGACAATTCTCTAATCACGTTCATTGATTCCACGTGTGTCTTTCAATTTTTCAATCATTCATAGCATACTCTATAAGAATAAAATTCTAAAAAGTATAAGGCGTCACAAGACTGAAAGGTTTAGTCTGTTTTCCTCATATAAATATATACAATTAAATCAAATTTCAGAAAATGAATTTTATTAAACTAAAGTTAATTTTCTGAATTTTATTTTAACTATGAAAGTCCATATGAATCGTTATAATTCCAAGATAAAAAATAAGAGTAAGAAAGATTAAGCTCCTGTTTGGCACTCATTCTCGTCTCATTCTCATTCTTATTTTTTTCTCTTTCTTCATTTGAATCACACATTCTTCCAATAAAATAATATTCCACACAAATATAAAAAATTTCATTAACTTTTTCACCACACATTCTCCCATTAATCACTATTCCAAAAATTATATTCTCCAAAAAATGGATGTCAAACAACATCTAAAACTTATATTTTGTAAAAAGTAAGAAAGATAAACAAAATAAAAAATAAAAATTGATATCAAGACACGTCTCATTTGAGTGGGTATTTTGAAAAGAATTTTGCTCCAAATACAGGAGCAAAATTCACAGGGGCCTGCTCGGCAACTTACACTGGCGTTTAAAAAAAAGGAAAAAAAAAAAAAAAACACCCCCTATGTACAGTGAGTGGTCTGGCAGTGAACCACCCCCTATGTCCTGTACGTGTAGCATCACTGTTTTGAAAAAGCTAAGAGAGGGAAATAAATTATATATTAATTAATTATGATCCATGACATCAGTTGATTGTATGGTCCTAACGCATGTATGTATAGGATCGAAATTTTTCTTCGAATTGAGAAATCGAGTTGATGCATATCTAGCAAAATTGAAATTGAAATTTAAGTTGGCAAACATATTTTTTATCTACACGTTTAATAAGATTCACGCGCTGCTTTACATTTATTTTCACGCATTCTATAAGATTCACAATTTATAAATGAGCAAAGACACTTTACCCGAAAATTGTTGACACTCGGCTTACCGACCGTCACATTGCGTGTGGGTCCCGCATGAATAAAATAATGTCCGACCTTTGAGGTGCGTGTGTTCGGTCATTCCCTTCGTGTAGTATGGTTCTTTATAAACACTTAAAAATACTATCAAATAAATAGAGTTAGGGATCTATGGTGAATTATAGGGTGAGGCTAATGGTGGCAAAACCATGGGTGTGTGGATCAGATGGCTACCAAATCCCCATATGACTTGAGCGGAAGAGTACAGAAAGATGGGTGTGGGTTCAGACTACTGGCGTTATTAAGAGCATTTTCAGTGTATTATATGAATTGTTTAAAACGTCGTATAAGCAAAAGTAGATATTGTTCAAGAAAATCTTTCTTTAACGCAAGTTGACAAGGACTCCATCAAGCTGATTTGGGAAAGAAAAGTTAGATATTGTCTAGATTTAGAAGCTTTGTTAAATATGTTGACTAAACAAAATTTACATTTCTAATAAAGATTTATATCTCCTGCGTAATTTAAATGTAATTTTGATTTTAATTTTAATATACTAAGACACCTAGATATATAATTGTTGAATTATAAATAGAATTTATTGAAGACTAATTTTGAACTTGGATGTACACTAATGGCACGTGGAGTGAAAGTATTTTAGGCACTATTTGAGCCCGTTTTGGTAAAAAAAAAAAAAGTATTTTGGAGTAATTATTTTTTGGATAATGTATGGTTAAATGAGGAAATTTTTTTGATTTACAAGTAAAATTATTTTATTGAAAAATGTGTGATTGAATATGAGTTTTTTTAAAAAATGGGGACCAAACATTTGTTTAGCGTGCATACCCATTATTAAAATTTCATGTTTTTCAACTCATTTTCAATCATGCATTCTTCCAATAAAATAATTTTGCGCGTAAACCTAAGAATTTTTCATACCTCATAAATACATATTTTCAAAAAAAAAAAAAATTTCGAAAACTTTTTTACTAAAGATGTGGCTCGAACAAAGTCTAAGAGTGTGTTAGACTTTGTTCGAGCCACATTATTTTTGTAAAAATATATTTTGGAATAGTAGATTGATGGAAAATGTGTAGTTGAAAAAGAAAGAAAAGTTATTAAAGTGATGAAAAATATTATTTTATTAAAAAATGTGTAGTTAAAAATGAGTAAAAAAAAAATGAAAATGAAAATTTTAATGTGACTCAAATAGGGACTAAAAATAACTTTATCACCAAATAATATTCTATTGCCTTTATTCCTTATTTCCCATTGCCCTAGAAATATTAAAAACCTCACTCCATCCACTAAAAGTCTCACTACTACTGCTTTATTGTTATTCTTCCTCCCTCCTGGAAACCTTTTTAACAAGGTTAACTTAGTGCTTGTGTGATTCTCACTCTTGGTGACCTTTGGATCACTTTTACGAAGTTATTTTAGGCTCTGTTTGGGAGGAATTAAATTTTTTTACAGTAAATCAATTCTCATTTTCAACCACACATTGTTCAATAAAATAATATTTTTCATCACATCAATAATTTTTTCTTCTTTTTCAA